CACACCCCACCAGAATCCACCCCCCCCCCCCCCCCCCCCGCCGGAGGGCCCCCCGGTGTTTGCCATCAGGACTGGGTTTTCGTCGCTTGGCAGCGATGGTGTAAAACAAGCCGATCACTTCGTGATCTCGGCAACCAGGATACCGCTTTCTTTCGCCTTTGTTTATTTTTAACCATGAATGGATGGTGGGTCGAGAACCCTCACTCCACACAAACGGGATGATCGCACCGCGTTGTGTAAATTAGTCAAGCAGCCTCGAGGCAGTTACACAGTGCTGATAACTTCTGTCTCTGGAAGTAAAAGCACCAGAAAATAAACTAAGGCATACGCACCTGTCATCCGTACGCAAGGACGTAAGCACAAGATGCCGAACACCGTTAGCAGGATGCAGCACACCCGTCATGCGACTCGCCGAATACCTCACGGCGCTTCGCGCTTGGTGATGTGAGAGCCTGGTCAGGCGAAAACCCGGCGTGCTCCGTCCCGGCATGCGAGGTCCATGGTCTACGGCATGCACGACTAAAGTACCCCCCCCCCCCCCCTCCCGGAGGGCCGCGAAGAAAGTTTTTTTTCGCGGTACATTTGTTGGTTTTAAAGTCTTGTAAGAATACAGCAGTGCTTGGGACAATCCCCCAAGCTGCAGAGCTCTGAGCGTCTCAAAGCTTCTGGGACAACGCCACCACGACCATTAGACCTTGGGCAAATATGACGAAATAACATCAACAAACGACACACCAGAACCAAATAACACACTTAAACCATGCGTGGAACATCATCAATCCAAGCTTTCTCAAGCCGGCAACATACAGGAGAGGGGCTGGCGAGGAGCCTACGGTGGTGGCTTCACCTTGGCCACGTGCAACACCCGTAACAATTTCAATTTGCCGTACGTTGTACTTATCATCCCTGAAGCCCTCCACCTCCCTCAACAAGACTAAACAGCCGCTTCTTCGAGCGCTTTCGCCTCGAGCGACTTCATCATCCCTCCTCCTCCCTAACCCTAACCCTAACCCTCCTCCAACCTCTGCTACCGTGCCGTTGGCTGCGGTACAGGCAAGCTCGCCCAGGGGCTACTACGTCGATTGTATTACCGCCGTGCATGAAATGTGCCCCGTTTCAATAGGATTTTATTGTATGGACTCGATTTGTTTAGGAAATTGTATGGCGTTGGGGGGGGGGCATACTCATATGTTTTGCATGCCTTGGCGGTGAGCCCATTGACCACACGTCCTCGAGAGGACGGAGCACTGTGTTCCCACAGGACCGATCACCGATGGCCAATCGTTTCTTCCTACTTTGCAAAAGGTGGCTCAAAAATGTCTTCCCTAATCCATCTATCCTATCGATATCACTTGCCGCCTCTTCAACCCACCCAGTACAGCTACCGTCTTCTCCTGACTATTCCATGCCTCAATCATCTTCCTGTATACCCCTCTACTTTTCGCATTTCAGTTATATCCACTTTCCTCTCCGTCTTGTTCAACGAGCATTCCGCAACTACATGAACAAGGTCTTCGTGCTCGGAGCCGCAATCACATTTGAACGTTTCCTCTTCATCGTCTCCTTCCTAAATCTTCGTCTACGTTCTCGAAGGCCGATGTCCCCGGTTCTGAATTTGACCTTAAGAACCGCTTATGAGCTTGAGGCTCCACGCTTATTGGTTACCTCCAACCGAGCACATGCTTTTTTTTTCCAAGTTCTTATTTGGAGCAGGTATCCACCTGTGATCAACGGGGTTCTGGTTCTTATTGCTAAACCGATTGCCCTATGCAGAGGACAACGGTCTTTCTGGGTGGATTTCATCACGAGACACTACTGCGGTAAGAGTAAAGTAATAACCGTAGCATCGTCGCCTAGATGGCAGTGCCGCATGTACGGTATGGGAGAGCAGAGGTTGCCGAGAATAGCATAGGAAGGGAAGACGTGGGCAAACAAGAAGAACTGCTGTACCAACCTACAGAGTGAGTAATGTTGTTGTAGATGACGCATGGAAGGGGGTCGAAATTGACAAAGGTGATACACTGGAAAGGGGAGGTCTGGAGGGGTTCAAGGACAAGACAACTGATGCTTTTGCCGAGGGAAAAGTACAAAATCTAACCAAAGAAACCAAAATGCTAAGGAGGGTCTCGATGTGTACGGAAGTTGAAAGAACGAAGGGTTCAAGGAGCACCTACATGGACCAATGGATGCGGAGACAAAGTAAAGCTGAAGGTCAAACTTAGGACTGGGGATACGGCTTTTGAGAAATTCAACGTAGACGAACATTAAGGAAGGTCGACGATGAAGACGGCAAATCCAGATGTAAATGTGGTTCCGAGAGCGAAGACCATGTTCCTGTACTTGCGGAATGTCCGTTGTACAAGAAGGAGAGAGGAGTGCACATGACTGAGCTAGCGGGGGGGAAAAAAAAGAAAAGGTACAGAAAGGTGTTTGACGAACGTAATAGCTAGGAGAAGACGGTAGTGGTTATAGAAAATGTGTTGAAAAGGCCGAAAGTGATACCGATGGGAAAACACTTTTGAGCCACCTTTTGGGCAAAGTAGGAAGGAACGTTTGGCCGTCGGTGATCGGTCCTGTGGGAACAATGCTCTGTCCTGTCGAGGACGCGTGGTCAATGGTCTAAACGCTAAGGCTTCCAAAACATGAGAGAGAGCACGCCCCCGTCGAATCCAACTCGTACGATCGGGAAGAGGCGTAAGTAAGATAAAATGGCAAGTAGACCGTATGTATGTACGATGTTGGAGAGGAGAGCCTGGGAGGCGAAGTGGACAAACAAGAAAAAAATTGAGGCATCAACCCAGGGAGTGGATTAAGGTTGTAGATGGCGTAGGAAGAGTTCAAAATCGATGAGGTTGATACGTTGGAAACGAACGGTAGGTCTAGGTTCTAGAACAAGAAATCTGCTTCTTTCGCCGAAAGAGAACACATTATAACAAAAGGATCCAAGGATAACGAGGGCCTAGATGTGTCCGGATGTTGAAAGGTATAGGCACCTACTACATGGACCAATGGAGGAAGCCGAAGGTCACAAGTTTAGGTGGGGACACCAGCCTTTGAGAACGTTGACGAAGTTATGGAAGGTGGACGATGAAGACAAGTTCAAATATGAATGCGGCTCCGAGTGCGAAGACAGGGTTCATGTCGTTACGAAACGTCCGTGTTGGGCGACAACGACAGAGAAATGCTCATGACTGAGTTGGACATGTAGAAGGTACAGGGAGATGTTTGAGGCATGGGGTAGCCAGGAGAAGACAGTAGCTAGCTGTACTGGGGCATACTGTAGGAAGTGGGTTGAAAAGGCGGGAAGCGATATCGATAGGGTAGATCGGCTAGGGAGAACATTTTTCAGCCACCTTTTGGCAAAGTATTTCGGAGTGGGAAGGAACGATTGGCATCGGTGATCGGTCCTGTTGGAACATTAATAATGCATCCTCTCGAGGACGTGTGATCAATGGTCTAATATAACCGCGAAAGCATGTGAAACATGAGAGAGAGTATGCCCTCACCATCCGCGCGTACAAGCATTAGACTATATCATGAGGTCCTCTACCCCCCTCCCGCCTCGAATCCGAAACTAACTGCTGTTTGGGTCACCCCCACCCTCCTGAGTTGCTATCTTGCAGCCGCCACGTTTTTGGGGCTTGTTCTTATCTGTATGCGCATTATAATTAGTACACCACATGGCCAAGTTCTTAGATTTTGGATTGTTCGAGGCTCAAGTTTGAATTGCTACATATATAGTCTAAGTTCTGAAGTGAGTGGTGGCGCGGTCTGTACTATACTCTAGTTGCTGATACCGGTACCTTTCTACAGCGTACAGACCTAACGCACTCATGCTATCCTGTTGTCAGAGCATGGGTATGCATACTAAATACTACCACTTTTTGTCTGTTGCCTGCAGCGAACACAGAAGGGATAGAACTTGTCTCAATGTCTACTGCTGTACATACACGTGACACGAAAGTATCCCTGACAGAAAAATGTACTTGTCTGTCACCACGAACATGAGGGGACTGCTGTCGCCATAATATAAATAGGACGAATACAAAACACACACAACAAAAAATATCAATTTGCCAGCAGTATTGTAGGTATGTATGTAGCACTGCTGTAGAGCTACAGCAGTAGTACTCTAGCCGTTATGTGCTGATCTTGTGGCATCACATTCCAACCCGACGGCGGCGCTTCCGACCCGACGGCGGCGCAGTTTCACGTGTACCATAGCAGTAGTGGCGGGGGATGTTTGGAGATGATTGATGATGTGGTGCGACCTCTGCTTGTTGTTGTGGTATGATAGCTGCTGCTATGCTACCCAATCCGATCTATCTGCATTGGAGAAGGTATTTTCTGCTTGTACACAAAATAGGACGAAAACAACAACGAAAACGAATGTGCATGTCTCTCTGTGTGTTGTTGTTGTTGTTATTGTTGTTGTCTTCACATTAAGAACCGTTCCGGTCTCCACTCAGTACCTTCTAACGTTCGTACGAGACACGAAGACATGTGCAACCCCAGAGAAGTTGCGCGCGTGGCCTGGGGAGGGCGCGGACGCCTTCCGTGGTAACAAGCCACAGATCATGTTACGTGGTTTCCTTCCTGTCAACCATTGTGCAGATATCTGTGACGTGTGTGACATGTAGGGTTCGTGTGCTGAGAGTGACGTCATCAGTCGACCCCTGAGTTGAATGGGTCATTTATTATTCCTTAATTCTGATTGGCATCAGTCCTACTTCCGATCTTCCGATGGTTGGGTCGTGTTTCTGCTCCGACGGCGACGCTGAGATCCTGAGATGACATCAGTCCTACACTGTGAAAACTCCGACGGCGGTGACTGCAGTCAAAGTCTTCTCACAGCTCCCATCATATCGTTCACCGACACAGCGCTTTCGAGCCACACACTTCGCCACTTTCCCCAGCACCCCCACACCTCTTTCACCACTCCAGCAGTAGACACCTTGCTCCTGCGCCAAGATGAAGTTCTGCGCGCAGATGAAGAGCTGCTGCTTTGCGGCGCTGCTGCTGGCGTACGGGGCGGCACAAGATTCGCATGACTCCCACTCAGACCACTCAGATCATGACTCACACTCAGATGAAGAGTCCCACGCCGAGCACGACCACGCTGAGACGGCTGTTGTGTACGACATGGAGCCCGGATCGTACTCTCTCGCCGCCTTCCGAGCTAGTGATGGCTCGGAGGTGGAGGATATCGGCTTCATGATTGTTCCCGCTGCTTCTGCCGACCTAGAGGGGCTTGAGGGAGCCGAGGAGGATGCCGATGCAGGTATGTCATGCTACAAGTAGTGTATGTCATGTGCCACAACAGCGAAGCAGCAGCAGTAGCATGCACCACCAGGTTTCGCATGCCACTCCCATATGGTAACGAATGTTGTTCTCTCTAGCCTCGTTGTTGGGGGGCAGGCGGGTGACGCAGTTAACGGCAGAAGAACGATAGATAGCCTGAGCGGTGTAGATACACAACCTCGTGGCGTTGAGGCGAGAACCACCGGATGCTAACTCTAACTTGAAGCATGAAAAAGGCCATGTGCGTTGGTAGGGCCCACACTGCTGTTTTGTTGTAGCAAAGTTGGTTTGATTCCGTGCGGAGACTGGAGCAAGAGCTACACACAGCAGGGTTGCAAGCCACCCCCGTACCATGTCGGACTGTTGTAGCCTTGTCATCCCGACATCCCGATATATTCAGCGCACCTTCGAATGCATACCATGCATGCATGTATGCAGGGTCTGCTGATTCCACGCTTCGAAAGGAAAGCAAAGAAAGGCGTAGTGCACGTACATGTTCTTGTGCATAATGCATGCATTCGTTCGCATCTCTACACTAACTGCCATTTGAGAAAACGTTGTTGTTGTTGTTGTCTTCAGGTTCAGGTCTCCGCTCAGTACCTTCTAATGTCCGTATACTGGTGTACTGGTACAACTGACGCGGACGCCTTCCGTGGCCACGAGCCAACTGCCCCTCCAAAGGGGGCGGTACACCTTTCCAAAAGAAAAAGAAGAACGGACACCAGAATCTCGACTTTTGTATGTACCAAACGAAGTTAGCCTGTGACCACGGGAATCGACCCCGTCAAGTGTTAGACTAGTACGGACGGACAGAAGAAGGTACCGAGCAGAGAGAACGGAACGGTTTATAATGTGAAGACAACAACAACAACAACAACAAACGAAAAGAAAAAAGAAACGATTATGTAAGACAAAAAGGCTTACTAACCGGGATCCAGACATCCAGACGACCGACTACGGTCAAAAAGGGATAAAAGAACGGATTACGAAGAACGAAAAAAAAAAATTAACTTCGTCTACTCGAAAGTACAACATACGAAAATACAGAAGAACGTGAACACGAGAATTCAGAATTTCTGAGTGTCCTTTACCTGCTGCAAAGGAAATAAGTGGTACATAATAGAATATATTAGTGTCCTCCGTGCGTTGCCTGGACAACAAAGCCGCCGCCGTCGCCGCCTCAACTGTCCCAAGATGTTCAACACGCTACGCGTTTTTTTGCATCGGCACTCGCATTGACAAAGAAAGGAAACAACACAAGAATACTTCGGAAGTGTATGCCTACCGCCCATCGAAAAGACAGCACGGGCCCGCAGTTGAGTAAAATTTTGAAAAGAAAAATAGGCTCAAATTTTTACGAAAAATAAGAAATACCCCCAAGGCATAAGAAACAAGGGGTAGCTGGAGGAGCGTGCCCAACACGAAACGTCCCACTGCTGCTCCTTCCGTGTTCCCACCCCCCTTCCTAGCTGAACAGTGCATTTTTGGGGGGGGAGAACACGCGGAAAAAAAATCCGGACACACGGCCCACCCCCCCCCCCCCTGAGGAGGAAAAGTTCCCTAAATCGTCCAAGTTTACTATGAGGTTGCAGTAGTAGTAGTAGTAGTAGATGGATAGCAAACAGACAACGTGCCTCACGCTCGTTATCCCGTTCTGCATCTACCTCCTCGTCATCGATGCCGGCCCATATTCACCCGGCCGTGCTACTTCAAGAACACGCGGTAACAAACAGCCTAGTTCGCGTAGCGCCTCATATCTACCAAGAAAGTACACTAAGTAGTTTCCAGTACATATTTATTGTAGGGTTGTAGTATCATCGATCAAAGATCGAAATCGAAATCAGTCCAATTCGATTGGAACAGGTCATTGACCAGCTTTCACATTGAACCACCTGCCTTGCAAACTTGCCCTTGCCGCCTCCTCTAGCACTGCACAACATCTCGCAAATCTACTCGTTAGCTTCGGTCTCTTGTTGTAGTTTTTTTTTTTACTGGACCAATCGGCCACACGGGCGACTGGCGGGCTATAATAATAGCGGCTGCTCCTGGGGTATGCATGCGAAGATTGCGAAGATGACCCTGTTGTGTGCGGGGTGTCTGACATCTCTCGGGGATCTCCACAGCTCCACCACGCCAGCAGCATCAGCGGTGATGCACACCATGCGAGAGCGGGACGCCAACGCACCGAGGCCTCGGCAGAAAACCCGGGGATACATGGGTATCTGTCCCCCCCCCCCGCGCAAAGGACCCCGAAGCTCC